CAAAAAGTGAGTAACAGCTGCATTTGCTTAAAATAATGAATGTATAGAAATGAATCGTCAAAATAATTCTTGTTGCAATACAGTGTCTTAAAAATTTATAAAATATGAAATTTGTGGGCAAACAGCATGTAGCTGATGTTTTTAAAATGCATGGTTGTTTCCTTTCACAAAGGAAATGAGTTGTGAAACAATGTGTAAACATTCACCTGCATGGAAATTGGCTGTGTCTAATGGTTTTTACAAATGAGAGGGCACATTTTGGGAATAAATACTAAACAAAATAAGTACATATGGATTTGCATATTCTGACTTGGAAAAGTAGGGAATTTCTGGAGCAGTGAAGTACTGTGTTACAAGCAAAGTTTAACAAAAATTGTTATTTGCAGTGGTACTGTATAAACATTACTCAAGGATTAGGTCCATAGCATCAAATAACAATTGACGGTGTAGGAAGGTTGTTGGTTTATGTGATGTTAATATTTCAATATAGTTTGTATAGATGATGTGAACTGAAAGAAAGGTTATATCCTAATTTTCAGTACTTGCTGACCATTCTTCTGAAGAACTAAGGAAAGGCACCCCATGTTGTAACTTACTGCTCATTGTCCTTTACTTCTGCAAACTTGAAGGCCTCTAACTTGGCAACCATGGAGTCCTTCTGCCTCTGTAACTCCAACTTTTCTTTCTCTGTGATGTTGCGCAAGTATGATAATCGTGACAAGGTCTCTTTTTGTGATTGAAATATCTTCAGCACATCCTCAGGATCTGTCTCTCCTGGAAGTAACACGACAAGACATAGGCACGCAAACATACATAGTTTTCAATAAATCTGATATAATATCAGTCTCCAAACCTTGAGTTCTGAGTATAAAACAGACCTAATTGTGGATCAATATTCTTATATCCACTGGACACGGTCCTTAGACAATTTACATCCTCAAAACTTTTGAGGTTTCCTACCAAAATCAAAGAAAAGAGATACTGTTGAACCTAACAGATGTTTAAATAAAGGCTTGGAAGGAGACTTTGTTTAGAAATTCCCTTAATTTATGTTCTTCCCTCAAAATAAGATATTCAATTTCCTAACAACAGAATTGAACCATGTCTTGAGATGAACTGTATACCTGTAGCTGCTTTCAGTTTTTCAAATGCCTTTTCAAAGTAGGTGGTGATATTAGCTGTGGAGTCATCTGCTGACTGTGCCCCTTCTAATGAGCTTGTTGATTCTTGGTGCACCAGTGTGCGTCCTATTGGAAAAATGCGGCGCTCAAGACGCTCCAATTCTAATCTTCGTTCTTCCACTTGAAATCTGCACAAAATAAAAGTATGGGTTGAATTATGTCTTCATATGGCAATCTCTTACTGAATACTTTAATTACTGTTTAGATGGTGCACAGTCTGAAAGTTGAGAAGACTATTTTGTGTTATGAGCATACGGTGTGTTGTTTAGAGATACGATTCATGACCATACCTTAGGTCCTGCAGCTCCTTTTCTCTGACTCTGGCTATGTTGACTGTATTGAACTCTTGTCTCACCAATGTGCCCCTTGTTGCATCCCTCAGCTTGAGTGCCTCACCATATATTTCCTATAAAAAACACAACAGCCAGTCTATCTTTCTGTCTGTAGTTTCAGAAAGATTACCTCTCCGCCCATCACTCACCTTCAAGTGCCTGATTTCTGCTTCTTGCTTCTTAATGTTTTCCTCAACCTTCACCAATGAGCTCTCAAATGCAACCCTGTCCTCTAGCAAGCTGCCCTGGATTATACGATACTTCTTCTGTACATGCTCTGCCTCCATCAAGTTCATTTCTACTCGATGTATCTGGTTCTCCAGCATGCAGATTTCCTGGAATAGTGACGATAGGGCGGTGTTTTCCTTCAGAAGCCAAACAGTAAATTCCCAGGCTTTATAAAGTACAAAGGTTATTTAAGATCATCGTGGTAATGAGCCTTCAGGTTTCATAAAAGGTGGGAATTTCTTGACTAGCCTAGCACACTTTTACCTTCTCAAGAAGAACTGTGCTTTAAGGATTTAGTTCCACCCATATAACCCTTGTTGAATTATTCGCTATAACAGATTTAAAGAGTATGTAATTCTCTCCATTCTCATGATTCAAAAGTTGTGTGTGCCTCACTCACCAGGCTCTCGGCAGTCTCCGCGTGCTTCTTCACCTGAAACGTGGTCTTCCTGTGCAGGAGAGTGTGGTACTCATCTGCTAGCATCTTCATCCTGTTCTGACACTGAAACAGGCAGACACACTCACTGCTATGATGCAGAGCCTGCTAAAGTAATTTTTTTCCTCTATTCAGAAAAATCTTCGCCAAGCTCTGGTCACTAAACATACCTGACACTCTCTGAATGAGAGTGTGGTGATTAATGTGAAAATAATGCACCACTTTTAAGGCAACATAGGCACTGCTACACGGAATATGAAATGTTGGTGCACCTTCTTTGATTCATGATGCAGTTGGTCAAGCTTCTTCTTGAGATCAGTTGCCTTGCAGTCGAGTACTACAATGATTTCATCACCTGACTTCTTGTTACGTAGGGCACCCATCTCCTTAGGGTATTTCATTGTGGCCCTTAGAATGCTGTCAGTATTCTGTAACAGGAAGCATCCACGTGATCTCTTGTAAGACTATAAACTAGGCCTCTGGGTGAGAAGCCAGTGTCATAAACAGAATTTAGTATAAATGTTGAAATTTATAAGTAGCATGTTCCAGTTTCCCTCTGGATATTGGAAGTCTCACAACAAGTTCAGTCACAAAGATGGCAGTTCAACTGGCCTCCTGATGTTAAGGTTCCTTGTATGGATTACAAAGATTTGTGAAATACAAACCTGCCCAGTGCTTGCGAGTTGTACATGCAAATTCTTTATCTCCATCTTCAGTTGTTGTAGTTTATCTTTGTTCCTTTTCTTCTCTCCATCCCACTCTTCATAATGTGCTTTGCGCTGACCCTCTGAAACAGCAATCTGGGGTAGGTGGGTGAGGAAATTAAACTGAAAACACTGCACAGGAATTAATTATGACTTCAGGAAATATGAAAGAACTATAATTCTAAATATAATTTGCAAACTGGCAGAGGTCCATGGTTCAACTGTTGAGAAATATTGTTCTACCACTCATTTCCATATCTAAAATGAAACCACTTTAAATTCTATCGTAGGATGCATGTTTGTGTCTTTTAGTTTCAAAGTGGCCCCATAACTTAGTACTGCCAGTAAAGAAATTGATTTCAATAAAATTGCATGACAAGTTTGGTTGATGTACACATTTAAGAAGTATTACCAGACAACTGTATTTTTTTCTTGAATTCAAAAATCTCTTTGTTTGTGTCTGCTAGGTTATTCACATTTATATTGTTTGTTTGCGCCATAGTAAAGTTTGTATTAACACATGTCAATGTGCCGCGCTGTAGAGAGGTTTATGAAGTACACTTAAGGGACGTAAACAATTGACGCATGTCTCCCATATTGAGTTTGTTCTTTAACACGTTTATCGCAGAAACGTGCATTTGTGGTTGGCACCGTTACGTAAGGGCGGGCACTGGACAGAATTATTTTTTGTTTATATTTTCTGGCTTGAAAAGTAGCAGAATAATTACGTTTTATCATTTTCTGAAATATGTTTCATTATAACTTGTACGGTATTCGAAGCATGAAGTATTTAATGACCAAGAATTGTTTCAGAAATTAAATTAAATATCTTTATGGAACTACAGAGTATTGTAACACTGTAATTTCACAGAACGGAATAAGAAAGTATTAAAGAACATCACTTAACCATATCATGAAACAAAAATTCAGAACATGCCCTGTTTAGTATCCTTGTAGTTACATGTGCCAGTAACAGATGGCGGGCAGGTTGTATAAGCAATGCTTCCTGCAATAAATTGATTTTAAAATGTTTACCAAATATTCTCAGTTCAAACCCAGTGATCATGAAATAGACAAATAAAGTTGCTCTTCGAGCTACATATTCTTGTATTTCCTTACTATTGGACGTCTAGATCCAGGTATTCCAATAGTGGTTATGTTGAGAAGAATTTTTCTTCAATACATTAAACACGTAATATTAACATAAAAATCTGCATACACCTTACAGGTCCCAACACTTTAGTCAGTGCGTCTCCCACAAGAAATGCTATTATTAATGATTAATTACATTTATTAAGTTGTAATTACAAATAAAGATGGATGAGATACGTGGGGGCAAATAATACGCATGTGGGAAAAGAACGCGCGCGCGCGTGTGTTTACATTTTATTTTTTTCATTGGAAACTCATAATGGTTCTTGACACTTTCATTGATAGCAGCTACAGTCCTTCATTGTCTGGAACAATATAGTGTTGCTACTGTCATTACGCGAATAATACTGCGATTGGCTGTACACGAAGCCCACATTGTGATAACATTGAAACAAAACTAACATAAATATATTGTAGGAATATTTACAGATTTCTGTTGGAAAACGGAAGGGTCCAACAAAGGTCATCAGGATATATAACAACAGAACCATAGAGCCTTTCTGTTTCGTGTTCGTGAGGTACCGGGTTCAAATATTATTCCGCGGATTTACTGTCCTGAAGCTTTCGTGTTTTTCCTTCGTCCCTTCAGGTGAATAGCGGTATATTAGCTACTTGAAATTAGACCACGACCGTTCTTCCACTGCTTTAAATTCATTATTCGTCCCCTATGTAGTCTGACGTTCCGAGCTACCGACTTGTGTGGTAAAATAATCACCCAAGATAAGACATTCGTTTATTACCCCGGTAAAGGACCCTGGTACCCATTGGACAGGAGGCTGGGTGGGCTCCAGAGCCAGTCGGGAAACAGATGTCGCAGGAAAATCCTTTGTTTTCCTAAAACTCAATGAGATAACGATAGTGCATAATCATATGTTATTTGTACTTTTTTAGTCCTATGTGATCCTTCCATTTTTATTTTCATGGGACAATAAAACAAATTAACATAATAAGAAAATGGTACGCACATTAATTTTTCATGAGATGTTAACGTTAATCGGAAAATTATTCATGTAGACACATAATTGAATGAAGTTAAACAGACAACGAAGACATTTATATTATTCGTAATGAGTTTGCATATGGCATTTGTCTGAAGAAAGTACTCGGCAGTTCTCGAGAAGATTGTATTTATACAGGCAATTGAAACAGTGTATGTAGTTCATTCAATCTTCAATGGATCTTTTCGCGATCCATGGCGCGTGTAATGTGGTCTGGAGCCACTGGAGGTAGCCGACATCCCGACTCAATTTCTACGGTAACCGTGCTCTGCACCATCATCAGCTTTTTAGCAACATTGAATGTGAATGAACTCCTCCTATTGGTCGGTGGTTGCTGTAAGGCAGTGCATTCCTCATCGTCCCCTCAAGAAGTTAGTGCATAATTAATTTCCTGCATAAACTTCTCGAACAAGTACAGGGTTAAATATTAATAGTCGATTTAAATATAAATCTTAATTTTGTATGAATGTGGGACAGAAACATTCCGATATGAGAGATATGCTAAAGTTTCACACAGCAGCGAACTTTCCCACAGTTCGAGACGCGAACGGATACAAGTACCTTCCGCATGGGAACTACTTTCAGTGACTGCAGCGAACAATGGGAATTTAGAGTATTCGATAGCGCGGTGGAAGAATGATGTTAGTTATTAAAGTCGATGTAGAAGTGAGTGGAAAATGAGTGTGAGTGCGTAAATGAGTGTTGAACTAATGTGCAACAAGACGATCGCTTAATATGTGGCGACAGGATTATAGTTTTGTGCTTGTGATCTTGGTAACTTGTTGGATTCCCACAGTAACAGGTAGGCAGGCTTTGCGTCCCAATGAGCGTTGCGTGCTGTTATAGTAGTTCTTGTGTATTAACAATGTAAAATCATACGGGGTCTTGTAGTCCACTTGCACTATCAAAAAAGTAATTTCTACAAATGTCAATAATTCAGAGTTCGGTTCACACTACTCCGTTCTGCAAGTTCAGTTCATTTTGCCGAAAGTCAATGTAAAATTGTAACAGCAACTTCTAACTACGTAAAATCTGTAAGCCCAGTTGAAAGAGAAAATATCGAGGGCATCATGCCAGAAGGGCGTATCTTCGTGTTTTCAGATCTGAGACGTCTGGTCTAACAACATAAAATAGTGGACGGGCGTAATGCGGATGTTGCTCTACGCAGAGATATTTTTTGGCTTATGGATACTAATAATGCACATTAATCAGACCAAATAAGCTTACGAATTTGAGTCTCCTGTCTTGTTGATACGCCGTTTAGGCATCCTCGATATTTTATGTAGCACCTTCATTCTTGAGAATCAAAATTCTGAGTACGGTTGTACGTTTTTGTATTATCATGAACTTTTCATGAGATTTTATGAAGACAGTCGTCATCATTTGTATTGCTTTCTGTGGCCAGATCTCTTGCCTTCTGAATGCATCTAAGGCAAATTAGGGCATTTGACTCAGTTCGGCATACCTTGGTCAGATATGTGTTCGAGCAGTGGTTTCCAACGGGTGCTGCAGAAATGTATACATCCTATTTTTTAAATTTTTATTGCAATGATGTATTTGACTGTAAAGCGTTGATCTCTTGAGAAAATTACAATGATGGGCTGTGCGATAGGGGTGTTACAAAAAACGGAATACGTGTCCAGGTTGCGATCGTTGAAGAAAAAGGTGAATACAACTGTCCTCCGGGGATGAACCCGTTGCTGATTACTATCAGGGGCACTCGTGTTGTAGACGTGAAATATGGGTGATGCGTTACTTCCACGCTCCCTGTACAACAAAATGTCACGTTATTTGCCGTAGTAAACTAAAATCAGCAGTAGATTAATGGGGGTGTGCACATCGGATAAAATACCGGTTGCCAACGATTCGTTTATGTGTGGGTGTGAATGGAGCTTGGCGACCGTGCTGCTTGTTATTGGATTGCCTATTCTTGCTCCTTGATTTGACACTTGACGTCCCTTTTCACATCTCCAGACTTTTACTTATATCTGGAACAACCCTTACAGTTGATGTATATTTTATCTGACGACGTTTCCAGGTAATGCATTACCATGATGAGGCAATATCCGTATCAGATACTGGTACCATCACTGCAAGGAACTTGCCCTGTGCCTTTTAAATACAGTACAGGCATACATTTCCAAATAATATATGGAACCAACCATTACTTGGAAGTTTCTCAGCTTGATTTTTGCCATTCCCGTATAAAATATGCTACACGTGCATTTCAACTTCCTTGGGTTAATCGCATGTAACTCCATAAATTTGCCCTTCCTGTAAATGACCTTAGTGCTTCTATCCACCAGCGTGGAGATCAGGACTGTTTACGTAACGATTTCGCCCTCCGTTCTGGCGACGAGACATGACGCTGTGTTCAATTCTAGACCAACCGCATTTGACTGGAATAAAAGTCTTTTTTATGCTGTCTTGTGTTGTCATCTAACAAATTAACATCATCAACATAGACCAAGATCATTTGTGTCCAATTCATTTCCATTCTCTTCTGATTTTGTTGGACATTCATAATATCGTGCTCAGAAACAAAGTTGAAAGCACTGGCTATAAAGCTCGTCACACAGATGTTCACATGTTTTTTTGTTTTTTTGTTGTTTTTGCTGTAGGTTTCGTTCAGATGAATTTTAATTAGTCTAACTTGGTTCCGTGTTTATATTGAATTCAGTACAATGTAGTTTCTGTTTTAGAACTCTAAAAATGGACTGCATGTAAGTAGAAGGTGGTTGTCTTCTGGGGTGATGCGCCTCGTTGTCTGGTAAAAGTTTGCCGGCATTTCAGAGGTGTTCTAGCCTCTCTTACCGGGGATGACGATGATGGAAGCAGTAAGCAACTTTGAACCGTCGATAAACGTATACCAGACTACACAGCGCAACATCGCATAAGTCATCTTCATTCTTCTGCCGTGAGAACTTGAAACATTGGCTTTATGTAACTTATTTTCCTTGTCTCCTGATTCATGAACGGACATTTTACTAAAGACAGGAGTAGACCTATTTTCGCGGATGCATGGCCTACTTTTTATGACACGCCTGCCAACGTGAGACCGTGGGGTGGGGAATACAAGCGTCTGTGGTCTTGAACATTGATAGATTATTTAAAGGTATATACACGCGTTGAAATTACCTTATTTGGGAAAGTAACATACGGAGTATGAAGTTTTTATGATTGTGAAGATGTAGATGTTGGTCTTTTGGGTTGTAACGCCGCTTGAACTTGTAGATATGTGTGCTGTGTAGTTGTACATCCACTTTATAACCCAGAAGACCCAACATCCACAAGATAAAATGGCGAACGGGCGAAGAATTTTTGCTTCATGAACTGTTGTAATTGCCGTTTGAAATTTGTGATTTCTCATGTTTACAAATGGTGTACTCTGAATTTTATTAAAAATAAGACTAATGTTTAAAATATTCTGAAAGATTTTCGTTAAGTTACATTAAACTCGAACTGTTGGTGGCAGGACACGTGTTCCTATGAAGAGATTAAAATACGTTTGCGCAACATTATTGACGTGTCAAGATGTGGAATTAGACAATACGAAGAATAATAATAATAATAAAAATAATAAAATAGGAAAACAGTTTGTTGTCATGTGCCATTTGGAGGACGGAAAAATAAGCGATTTTGGTTTCCTCATATTCCAAGCATTTTCTGTCTTGACTGTGGTGAGGTTGGTCGGACCCCGCCGCATTAGAACGGCTGATGTAGGTTACGCCTGTGCGGAAATGCCCCGTGTTCTCAGGCTTTCTCTCGGCCGCTGCTGTGAGAAAAGTTCACAGCCTCCTTGCCGGGACTCTGAACCGTTCGGATCGCTTTGTAAACGCGAAGTGTACCCAAACCTCAAGGACAGGTTCATTTTATTTGTATCACTGCAACTTTCATCTTCAGTTCCGTGTGACGTAAACAGAAATGTCCAGCAGAGAATGCCACGTGTTGTTACACGTCCTTGTCTTTCTACTTCATTAGGCCGGGCGCAAACGGAGCCACTAGTGGTCGCCACCGGTGGCCGCCACTTGTGGCTAAACACGACCACTAGCGGGATAAACAGTGGTCGGAGGCAGCCACAAGTAGCGAGACACGGCCACTACCGCAGCGAGTGGCCGGGTCGGGCCACTACGAACGCCGTGTCTGCGCTGTCTATTAAAACTCCATACAAAATACAGACCGCAGCTTGTGGCGGCCACAAGTGGCTGTGGCTAGTAACTCCGTTTGCGCCCGACCTTAGTCGTACAGAACTTTTCTGTAAATACTTTATCGGGGTGTATTGTCACCCATTTGCGGCAGATAAATTCCAGGAGCAGAGTTAAAGTATGTGAGATTTGAGGTTTTCATGGCGGCGAATATGAAGATGGCTGTCTTCTGGGTTGTTGCGCCATGTCGTTTAATAGACGTTTAAGACGTTCTTGCTGCCTTCATGAGGGTCATAAGAAGACAGCCATCTTCGACGTATAAGTGTATTTAAACACTGTTTTCCGCCAAATTTAAATCGTTTCCGTATAATTATTATTTTTCCTCTTTGATTCAAGTTCCCGTTCAGACATACTACTGTTTTAGGCGCAACAGATAGAAGGCGGCAAGGAGTGGTGGTGCCGTAGAAGTACGTTGATTGCGTATTGCACCCGCTTCCGCAAGATAGGAAGTGCTTGTAATACTATCGGGGTTTGATTGACTAGCTAGCGAGAATCAAATACGACCTTTGCAACTGCGTTTGGGCGTTGAAGTCTGTCGGATGGTTTTAGGAGGCGATCGTACATCCAAAGGCTCCAAGGCGTTTTCTTGCGCGGGCAAGCACATTCCTGAAACGGGACTGGAACTCTTCCTCTGCTATTACATATTCATCAGAGAGAAATAAGTTCTCAAATAAAGGCGAACATATTTCTTGAGGCTGAGGACAAGCGATTAGGGAGGTTCGCATGTTTGAGGCAAAGTCTAGTCGTAATGAGCGCCGGGAACTGAGAGACCAAGGTGTTTTGTTTTGTCTTGTCAGCTCCTCCAGGCGAATGTCTTAACCCATCAAATTCCTGTGGTAACTGTGTACCATCTTCTCTTAACTATCAGTATTTATGAGTTTCATATGATTCTCAGACTAAACAACATTAACCAGTTGTTCTTTGCAATGGAAACTCGTTGTATTTACTTTGGGATAGGAACTGGATTTTTGGATATTATTTGGTTCAAGGAATTAATCTTAGAGACGTCCATATATGTACCTTATAGCGTATATTTTTAATTACATGAAAATAGTTCTTGAAGATGACTGTTCTGGGATGTTGCGCTGTGTAGTCTAGTTTTTTGGTTCGGCGTTTACCGATGTTTCAAAGGTGCAAACTGCGGCGAACCCTGGTGATGGAGGCTGTAAGAACTTTAGAAATGTCTGTCAATTTCTACCAGACTACATGGCGCAGCAAGCAAGAAGAACGGACGATGGAAAATGTCCTGACAATGAATAATTTCAAGTGTAAACTACCGTCGTCAAAACCCTTTAGAATTGAAGAAGACAATCATTTTCATACTCGCCGCCGTGAGAACCTGAGATCTTACCACTTAACGAAGTTTATGCCAAACGGAATATACGTACACATTTGGGTTGCTGTAATTATACGGGCTTTTTCGAAAGGTATGGAAGAAATTACCCACAGCAGAGGACTCGTCTAGAAAACAGTGCACAAAATGCCCAAATGCGTTCTTTGCGAATTTGTATATTTTGTACAAGTAACGCTGTGGGGTTTGTGATCAAAGGACCAGCGTTGCCGAGATAAAATTGCCGTACGCACATAGAAATTAGAT